ATTCAATATATATTATTCAAATACGCAATCTATTCCCAGATCTAGACTCTTGCGCGACCTTTAGATCTTCCAACCACGATTTACCTCATCAATAGACTGCGGATTTTATGCATTTATCGTAAATCTGTATTGCATAAATATTTGTGGTTGTGCATGCACATTTGTACGGATATTTTTTTATATATATATGTAAAGTTGTCCGAAGCGTGTAGTAAACCTGACTTGAACTTTCTATGGCGCCTTTAAGCCGTCTTCGAGGCGTCATGTTCTATTTGAGATTTATCGTAAATCGTAATCTGCAAGTGACAGTAAGGTAAACGCTAATAAAATTTAATATCTATATGTTATTATAAACATAATTTGAAATCGTTTGCTCGTGGGTGTTCCATGGATCCCGGAGAATCGTCGCGACAATCGATCGAAATCGATTCTTTCGTTCCGATTGTTTAGAATGCCTGTTTCATTTCCCCGCGAGATTCACAAACGAAGGATGGACAGAGGTGATTGTCTGGCGAGAATTTGGAAATTTCTAAGGAGAATCGATCGTTCGATTCAGTTCTATTCCACGAGGAACGGTCCAGCCGAAGCGACGACGAGGGCCGCGGTGGGGAAATAAGCGAAATTGCGGAAAACAAGACGCAGAAGAAACGAGAGCACATGACTGCTGCACTTGATACGAAGAAACTCGTGACACGGGGACCGATAATACGAACGAGAACAATTTAACTGGCCGCGACAGACCGCGAAACGTGTACAGTACGCCGACAGAGATGCCCAGAAGGAACCGAAATTACGAGACGTTCAACGACGAGGCCACAACGAGCGAGTGAGTGTCCCATTGAAATCGATCCCTTTGGGTCTATCGTATCGAAACGCGTCGGGTTGCATGGATTCGAGTAGGGATGGTGTGCGAAATCGCTAACAATGATTTATCACAGTGATCGCAGAATCACGATCATGGTCGTGGTTTAACGTCATTTAAGTTCGTGATCGTGATTTTATTTTCAGTGAATTTTCTCACTGTGATCTTAATTCTTGATCTTTAAAGAATTTTCAATATGATTTGAAAGTGAATTACACTAATATTTGCGTTTTGAGGGTCTAATCGTGTTTCAATGCGAATCTGATTTAAATGTGTAAGAATCAGTGGTTTATTAATGGAAAAAACAACAGTGATTTTTAACGGCAAACGAATCCAGTGGTGGTGATATAATTTGTTGGATGGGAAACGGTAGTGTGGAAATAGGAGAGCTTCTGAGAATTTAATGCTTGAAAGGGTCATTTACTTAACCCTCGCGTAACGATGGTGGGTCATTTCGTTCAGTATGCCTCGACGTTTTGAGGGAAAAATGGATCCTTAGTAGCACAAAAAAAGAGATTCAATCTTAGAGATTGAAAAGAGATCAACACGGTTATAGGCTGTCGTGTCCTTCATGCGAGAGTTAAGAACGGCAACTTGTTGGTAGTTTGTTAATAGTTTAATTCCAATTACAATATTCTGTCAAATTTGTAAGTCTAGATACGAAATGCTTTTTTAAATAATTACTTCTCGGATCTGGATCAGAGCAAGATCTCCTTTATTGAGTATTTCATCGAATAAAAAATAACCTATAAATACTGTTAAACTTCATGAAAGATTTGATTTTGCAAATTTATTGATTACATAAAGAATTCGCAAATTTTTATCGATCGATTGGCGAACACAAGACCAGAATCGAAACTGATCATTCGTCTTAACGGTATTACTGTATTAAAAATAAAACGAAAATATTAAGAAGATTTAGCGAATACCGCAAATCCATCGAATTTCACGGTCTACCGATAACGAGGACGACAAGAGCGTTTTCGCAAGGCGGTACGATTAGGAAACATTCTTGTTGCAAAAATAGCCAAGCTGCATACGCAAACAGAAAAAGATTCCAGCAAGCGAATTTTTTCAGATATTATCGCTAACGGTGCATTTTATTTGTCTGTCGCGTTTATCTCGTTGGAAAATTAATCGTGCCCATTGTAAAGCCGTTATGGTCGCCGATAACCGTCGAGCGTCTCGTAAACTCGATTCTCGGATGATCTTCAAACAACTCGGATTATCCTCTTTATTAATACTAAAGTCCTGCTTCGATCGTTTATCAGCGGCCTTAGAAACATAAGTCTCTCAGTCTGCTCATTATTACAAAGACTTTTCTTAATTACGTCACGTTTCGATCGACCATCTTCTTCTCCATCAATCTTCCATCTTCTTTTCTGCTGCAAGATTATATTCTTACACTAAATTAATTTATTATAGTAAAATCCTTATGTAACCAATTTTTTTAACGATTTTAGAAACACAAGTCCTCAATCTCTTCAAAATTAAAAATTACATATAACGAATTTTCTTAATTACGTCACGTTTAGATTCCCCATCCCCTTATCTGTTGTTAGTTTCCGTTTTTAGATCGACAAAGTTCGAGCCGTTATCCGCAATTAAACCGTCGCAGGAGCCCATTGTGAAAACGTCACGCGTAATGATTGAACCGTTTACACAAGACGGACTTATTCTCTCTGTTCGGTCCGATTTTACTCTATTGTGCACACTGGATTCGTCATCGTGCACGGAACAACGACACAATGGACGATAAAAGAGTGACCGCCCGGGCAGAGCCCCATTTTCTCCGCAAATATCTTCCCACTTCCGGTATCTCAAACATTTCAGTCGGATTTTTCTTTAGTATAACGACAGCTCACTCTGTATACAGAGGAATATCGATCAGAGAACCTAATCAGGCGACACGATCCTCGAGTAATCGATTTTCTTTGCATTATCGATGGTATTCTTACGTAAGAATGGCCATTTATTATATAATGTTCATGTACTAAGCGTACCAATGAGTAATCTGCCATTTTTTTTTAGTAAGGTCGACATATGCAATAGTAAAAAATAATATTTTTAGTTGTGTATTCAAAGTTAAGCCTTTGCAGGAGACCAGTGACTTTCTGCTATTATCGGCAATAATTAATCTTACATATCTTATATATAAATAAAGTTCTACCTTACATAATTACTTATGCTTCATATTATCTTGTAGATATAAAATTAATTCAGTTTCATTACATGTACAAAAGCGTAAAAAAAGTCGAATTTGGCGCTCAGATATTAATATTTATTTGTAAATTCTACAGTTCGCGAGCTCCGCACGACACGCGCCATTTTGTTGAAACAAAATGGCGGCGGGAACGGCTGCCAGACTCCCTAACCACCATCAAACAACTTTTAATTTAATTCTTCTGTATACATTCGCTGCTTTATAAATCGCATGTTTTTCTCAATTCGATTATCGAGAGGACCTCAATCTTGTTGATCGGACATTTTTTTTTTGGAACGTCGATCGCGCAGGATCGATAGCCACTCCACGCTCTTCGCAGCGAAATTACTCACCGGTCGAAGATCGGATAGAAACTAATTGCACCGTGTTTACGACCTCGGTGATTTTCTTCGGGTCCCAGTGAGTCATCGGAGTTTAATAATACAATCGTATCTTCGAGGACGATAATACGAAATAAAATTCGGAAAATGTACGCACCGTTTTGCTGGAATTTTCTCATCTTTTCACTTCAAACGTGGACGTTAAACGATTCGCTGACGTCTGTCGGCAACCTTGTTAAGTGTTCCAAATGACAATTTCGTTTAATCGCGTTTCACATGTTCTGTGTCACGTGGGACACCGTATCTTTGCCTCGAAACACGTAGAATTCGTCGAACGAGCACCATTTCACTGGAATGTTTTCCAGATACTATGAAATTTAATTCATCGTCGAGGTTTATCGGTAATCTTATGAGATCTTTCATATTACGATTTCGTTTTCTTTTGATTTTAAATATACATGTACATGGAATTAAATGTCTATACATAGGTTTTTTTTTTTGTTATTATGTATGCTCGTTTCGCGTATTCAGAGTCACATGGGAGAGCTCGGTATCGCGTTTCACGAACAACAATCGTGACAAATTCAGTCACGAGTCGGTGGAACCGCCCAACGATACGGCACTATTTTTCTCAGATAAACAAACGATCAAATCCTCGTGATTGTTCTTATCGATTCAGATGTAGATTACAGGGCGGGCAACCTATATTTTCGATTTGAAAAGTCGGAGGACACGATGCACGCCTCTCGTAATTAATCTCGATTCGTTTCTTTTTTTCTTCGTTTTCTTTTTATTCCCCTCGACGGTAGCCTGGATCGTTGTTTTATTAAATCGTCGAGCAAACAGCTGCGCTTTTATCTATACGCGTGACATCGACGGAGGAATGTCATAATAAGAAATTGTTTAATTAACAATCGCCAAGTCAAACGCGTACATCGGTGAAATAACGTTTAAAATATTATTCAATATACATACTTAGTCACAAAATATTGTTATTATTGTTAAATTATAATTTAACATGCAGAAATTTATCCCCTTTACCTGGCCCAAATTAAGATTTCTTATGGCCCAGGGTTATTAAACCTTCGAGGGCCCCCTTGATTGAAAAGCGGTGGGAGGGAAGGGGGCACCAAATTTTTGTAATGCAACATACAATAAAATGTATAAATCTTCGAAAATTGAAATTTATTGTAAGTAAAATTAAATATCACTTAATACTAAAGAACGCTTGATTATAATGAACAATGCTTTGTCATATTTCTCCACGTAAAAATCGCCCGAATCAGCATCGTTATTTACACGTGAAAAGAGCAGCCAACAGGCCCCGTTGTCGTTCCAAGAACACATTATCAAAAAAAGAAGGAAACCAACAACAACCAACAATCGTCACCGCGAAACCTTTTACTTACGCTTCAATGTCAAAACGAGTACCGACCATCCATCGTCACGCCGGTTACGAACCCGAGATATTTCGCGGGCGTGCTCGCCCGACGAGGGCGCATGCGCGGACATACGAAATTCGCGCGCGCCCCTTCCCACTTATATATAAGCGTCGGCGCGTGTCACACGGGTCCATTCGCTCGGTGCGCGCACGTCGTCACCACAAGTCAGCGGTGTGTAGTAAACAAGTGTCATTTCCCTAGTCGCAACGTGTGTGTATTGTGTGTGTGTGTGTGTGTGTTTGTCCCACGATATTACATATATATATTTGTCGATCATCGCAAGTCGGTAACTACGATCGTTTAGTTCCACCGCTGAGAGTCATACAAGTCGCGTCGATAGAACGATCGGTGCGCGGAAGACAGGCTGAGACACATTTGTCCATGGAAGAAGACGTCCGTTGGACTTTACGGGACGCACGATCCGCGGTTCGAGGATTTTCCGAGGGAAAACTTTGTGGAAAGTAGCGCGTAATTGCGTAGTCTCGCGGGGAGGGCGTGTGCGTGAGTGTCGCGGCGGCCAGAAACAGGGCGAAAGGAGCGGAGAGACAAGGACAACGAGAAAACAAAGATCATCCGTGTTGGTAGTCGCCGTCCGCGGTCGAAGACGATGAACCGTGTGGGAGACGTACGCGCGCAGTGATCTCTTTTTTACGATACGTTTTGTGATAATCGCCAGACTGTGGTATATATATATACACACACATTAAATCTGTACATATACCTTGCTTATCGTCGGGAAAACGTCGCTGGAAAACACTACGGGAGATCAATATGACGAACACCATGGCGGAGTAAGTACGACACGTGTCCTCCTGTTATACACAGTGTGCTCCTGTTTATTTTTCCGGGTTCCCCCATGCGCGCATCATGCTACGGTCGCGCGTGGCCGTGCGTCGAGAGTTTCTCGACTTAACGGGAGAAATTGTATCGAGTCACGCGTATTGGTCTCTTTTGTCCCGTGGAACCGTTACTCATTCGCACTATCGAACGATAACGAAACAACGGTTGTCTACGTGATTTTTTTTCCGTGTGATTCAATTAGCAGCTTTTTTCCTGCTTGTTACAGATGAAAGTTTAAGCTCTCCGAGGAGTTTTCGACAGATCGTATTTGCTTTGTGTATACAGGCTTAGGATATTCATAGTCCCACGGGAAACCGTTATAATTTTAGATAATACGTGAAACTTTCGGTGTGGATTGGAAAATGACCTTGTCCCCGGAGTTTTAGCAGACCTTGTACTCCGATAATTGGTTTGTTTACTTAACGGATCCGTTTCGGAAATACTTCGCCAAAGTGATTAGTAAGGACTTAGTAAGTACGACGTAAAGGTGGTCACTTCGAACACCTGTCACGTGGGACACGCGGAACACAAAGCTTGTATAAAGTGGAATTCGTTAAAACTGATAAACAAGGTCGAAGCTGTTTACGTGAACTTTCGTTTACTATACTTCGCCGTATACTTACTGAATCTACCTTTGAATTTAACGCGCTTGTTACGTCACACCCAGCCACAATAAATTGAAAAGTATACCGAATCAAATATCCTTTTCTTCGATTTCTTTTTCACGGACTTAATGAAAATAATCACAGGCACGAGTTTCCCAGAACCTGGACGACGATTCTCGCAGTTTCGCGAGCTGGTACATAAATAACCATTCCGATCAAACAACGAAGATAAGATAGAAACCGAACATGACAGATGTCGTTTTGACAGTCAATCGAGTTTAACGTATTACCTATATTTTACGATCGACAAAGCGAATTAATGATTAGTATGTCGACAGTGGCCATGGTGGATGAAATTAACGACGGTTGAATTGATATTCCTGGTAAACGTTTCGTCTACGTTACTCGTGTCGCTAGTCGCGTCACCCCATATTACACGATCGCCGTTTAACCATTTCGGCGGCCATGACAGTGTTTACTCGGGTGAGTTGCAAGCCCCGGGAACACACCGTCACCGTGTTTTTCCGTCTTTTTACAGTTACGTCGTTCGTTCACCCCGTAATTGCGTCATCCGTTCGTATCGAGATATGTACATTAATTGCAACGATGCAGAATTCACTTTTTTTTTCTCTCGACGAATGTGAATATCGAGTTACTATAAAATTGCTGACATTTTTTTGTTTTCGAGGTCAGATGAAGTAACGAATTAGTTTTATCGAAAAGGATCGATGATACATTTATCGACTAGATTTTAAAGTGGAATGTATTCTCACGGTCATTTTTTCAATGTGTTTTAATTGACACCGTTTTTTGATTACTGTTTGGAAAAAGTAATTGTCACAATTTATATGATAACCCAAGATATACGCGTTCGTGTTTTTTTATCGATTTGAAAATGTGAAATTACTCGATAGTGCGCATATTTCTTCTGTTTTAGAAAAGAAAAACCTTCGTAAATTTGCTGTTCGTCGAGAATTATTAGTTGTATTATAGATCGGGAATATCCGTTAAATTAGGGCTTTATGCAGCAATGATAAGGCGTAATAAGAATTATACGAGGGAATTGATTGCGTTCTATCTGGTTCGCGTATGTTTTCTTTCTTTTTTTTTAGCGGAATATATATATATATAGTAAATCCTTGATGAGTTTTCGAATGCTCCTCTGCACTGACAAGGAAAGGTCCCCAGGTGTAACACTGACTTTTTAATAAGTTTTAGCACAGTGATAGAGCTTGGAATTCTAAAGCCAATAATATTTGTTTCAGCCGCATATGATCATTAGTTTATAAAATATTTAATGTTGAGTGCAGAGGAGGCTACGAACACTCATCGAGGATTTACTGTAGTTCTGTACCCCCTTAACGAGGCAATTTTGTCGAATAGGAACGTCGACAAGCAAAGGAACCATGTATTTATTTACCAAACGAATTGTTACCACTCGATGTCGCAGTTCGCCAATGCATTCCTTCTAATTCGATCCCGTGTAACACCTGACGTAAAGATATAACAGTTCCGGATTCACGAACGTAGGCGGGAGGGTGGGGGGTTGTTTCCCGTTGTCAAACACAGGTGACGTAATTGAACTATTAATACAACCAGGGACAATAATTGTACTTTGAGCGAACCGCTTGTATATACCTTACCTGTGTGTACACTGGAACCCTTTCGCGGACGAAAATAATACGCTCGAATCGTGCCAAAAACTCGTGGATTTCTTGGCTGGGTACGCGAAAAGAAAGAGAAATTTGAAATCATTGATATATCTATATATTCTAGGTATTCGAAATGATTTTCTTCAAATGAAATCTATACACAAGAGGTTAAAGTTTACAAACTTGTAACGTCGGCATTAAATACCAACATTAAAACAATGCTAGCTTTAAATATTCGTATTCATATTAAATGTCACGTTTCGAGTATAGTCACCGATCTCGATGGAATTCACATCGCAGGACGCAACGTAATTTACACGTATGCACGATGTTTTCGTTGGATTTCGAACGGAAAACACACAACGTGACAAAACCGTCAACGGGGGACGTCAAGTCAGAAAACTGGGGAACATTTTTATTACCCTTTCAGCGCGTTCAGTTTATTTCGGTTTTCGAGGTGAACCACGGCGACACGGAATCGAGGCTGTTCAACTGCGTCGTATCGACAGATAGTGGTAAAATCATTTACATGCGTTTATAGGAGAAGAAAATTGAGACTTGTAAATATACGACAGAATTTTCGTATAATAAGATAGGGAGGAATTTTTCCGCGCTTATAAATAGAGCTGTTCGCGATAACGATGCAACTCGTTACGTCGTCACTCTACTGCGAGCGATTATTTAAATTTCAAATTCGTACTTTCATAGACTGTTTCTTGAACGCGGTAATCGAATAAAACTTCGTTTTTTGTTCATCGATCTTTCGAATGTTTGCGCAATTTATCCGCGATTATAAATTGCGTGCGAAAAAACTCACGTGGGAGCCACATTTTCATTTTGTATGCAATTATGAAAATTGTTTATACACCTGAACATAAATCGAAATCAGTTCACTCGCTCACTGCGTCTTCGTGGTATCTTATAAAAATATTTTTTGTCTCGTATAATCAAGAAACAATAGTCATTTTAAAACAATTTGAAACATTTTTTTTTAATATTTTTTGTTTCAGCCCACAACGAAAGGTCATTTTTTGTGGGACGCGTGATTCGTTTTGTTTTATTTGTTAAAATATTCTTACGGTAATATATTTTGTTACAAAAATGTTGGATACAACAATTTTATACAAGATACGAAATAGATATAAAATGTAGTGAGCGGGTAAATAAGGATCAGTAATTTACTCTTTTTTCAGGTCATTATGTTTCCAATTTTTCCTTACAATTTTCTTATCATCCGTTGACTAAGTAATTAACAACCTGTTTCACTAAATACAGGCTCATTGATCTATTAAATAGACACAATTAAGCATTCACGGCCTTGCGACGTACACGTCACGCTGATGTTTGAGAACCACTGCTCGGCATAACCTTCCCGAATAGGGAAAAAAAACGATCTCCACTCGTAAAAAAACGTCAGTCCAACGTCTTCTCCGTCCACACGATCGACTTCCGTTCCCCCAGTCGTATCGGTTCGTTACAGTATTGCCCCAGTCGTATCGGTTCGTTACCGTGTTCCCCCAGTCGTATCGGTTCGTTACCGTTCGTTTTCTCGTCACCCTCTCGCCTTCGAGCAAGAATATTAATTAACAAATATATATTCACATGTAAGTCTGTGCCTCGAGCGGGGCCGCGACTGTTTACATTCGATTATGCTTCACCTGACGAGCGCAAATCTGCTTTCAACGAAAGCGAATCTCACCTGCGACATTAATAATCGCGGTGTATATAACATTTTAGCGTCCGTTGCATCATCGGATTATCAGCATACCATTTACCGCGTCGACGGTTGAACATTCACCCGTGTAATATTTTTTCTTTTTTATTTTTATCCACGTTTCGTTTTCAAACACTAGAACTACCATCATTGAATGTATACTAAATTAAATTGTATAATATAGTAACATACGTAATGTATAGTGCAATTTCACATAATACAGTATAACATCGAATTTATAGTAAATTAAAAGTCCTATTTTCAAAGAAATGATTAAAAAGGGTCACTTTACCCCAAACGACGAGTTTATTCGTCTTCCCCGATTAAACAGGCTGAAAGTCAAAAAGGAAGTAAGATACGCGGAAACAGAAGCGTGAATCATGGCCGGAAGCTCGCCCATTGATAGTGCTAAAAAATTCATTTACATGTATACAAACACCGAATTCCATTATATGTCTTATCGCATTTCCAATTCATTCGATCGAAATTATCTATAGAAAATTTTGTCGGCTAATATAACACGATTTAAGGATAGCTTTAAGATGATTGTACACAATTCTTTGTCAACACTTTTTTCCAAAGTTTTCAAGGTCACCTTCAGTGTTTTTTATAGATAAAGCCTTCGAACACTCATCGAAGATTTACTGTACAGCCTGAAAGAAATGCATAAGTCTGTCTCCAGAATGAAATAGAAAACTTGGTACATCTAATGAAAATTTTGTCTTTTAGTGTATTTGACAAACATCCGCAGTCTAGTAATAAAATTGCTCAAGCCATAATTGTGTCGACAAACTCGAGTCTTTTATAGTCGTTCACGTATGCCGGAAATTTTACACGGTTAATCGTCCGAATAAGAGTAATTTAAAATCACCTTGAACGTTTTTTTTTTTGTTTCCCCTCGTTGGTAAAACGGCAATAATGCCTGTTTTACAATTACTTATATAATGAACGGAACACGAGCCAATGAATGTAATTATACGTTTTTTAGAATTTGTCGACGGTCTTTGCCAGTTTTGTGAAATTTCCTGCATCTTTGTCATAAAAAATAAAAAAAAATAATTTACTCATGGATGTCTGATGATGATTGCAAGAATACAGACTCCATTCGAATATTGTCTGGCTTGTTCTACACGATTATTGTCCAAGCGTTATCCCTACCATTAGGGGGGGAGGGGCGTGAAACCTGTCAAGAAACGAATTTACGAGGGTCTGAAGCATTTCTCCCGACAAGATTATTGTCCTGGCGTAGAACCGAGTTCGGAACGATAATCAAAAGGAGTCTGTAATTCATAAATCGATTTGATACGGAGGTACTAAGGATCTAGGTCGAACTTTATTTTAGTAGAGTCAGATCAGAGCCAAATTTCTAAGCCTGTATATTCCCGCAGTTCCTTATACTTGACAGCACACTTGTGTGCTGATGTAAGAGGAGAGAGCACTGTTGATAAACTTGTTCTTCAGGACAAATTTTCTATGTCATCGAAAGACTGGAAAAGTAAACACATTAACGTACTAGACCAAGCGTGTATGGGGTCTTTATCTTAGTTGCGTAAAAATAATTATCATCCAGCTGATAGATAGAGTAACGAGTGTAAAACACTGTTTACATGTTTCGTGGTACAATGTCTACAGAAAATTTCTGTTACACGTGTCTGCTCCAGATTCCTATGATCTAAGCAGAACAGAATCTTCTGTTATCTTTCCTGTTACATGGTTACGTTAGGAAGACTACTTAAAGTATTTTAAAAAGCATCCAGCTCACTGGTTGAAACTGTTTCTTACAGAAAAAATGGCGACGTTCAAAGCTCAGACAAGTCATCCCTGGTGGACTCGGCGATACTTCCGAAAATTCAACAACCGGCCGAATTGGAGGATGAAAAGTCTGGGCTGAAACCGAATAACGTGCATAATGATCTAGAGGGTGATAGGGATATCAAAGGGAGTGTCGTTAAGCAAGTTCTGGCAGCAGTGGTGGCCCAGCTTGGAACTATCAACACAGGCATGGCCTTTGGTTTCTCTGCCATTGCTCTGCCACAGCTTCAGGAACCGAATAGTACCATTCCCATTGTCGAAGGATCCTCTGAGGAATCATGGATAGGTAATAATTAATACAATCCATTGCTACGCTTTATTTAGTAAACTGCTCCAGTGAATCTGGAAGTTCCATTGCAGGAGTTCCCTGCCCAGATAGCACATGACACCTTGAAGACGCCCAATTTACGGTTATTTTAGGTCTAAGGCACCTTTAAGCCGTCGTCAAGGCGTCATTAAGTTGTGCTATGTGGGTAGTGGTCGATAGTATCAAACAAAAATTCTCAAAGTGCAAAGGGTTACATGCGATGAATGACTTTTACAGCTAGTATGTCCTCTATCGGTACACCTATCGGCTGTCTAATGTCTGGGTACATGATGGACGTCCTTGGGAGAAAGAGGTCTCTGATCATCACAGAGATCCCGGCATTACTTGGCTGGATCTTGATTGCATTTGCAACCGACATCCGGATGATATACGCTGGGAGGTTCTTCGTGGGTCTGGGTTCAGGCATGGTGGGTGCTCCAGCACGCGTCTATACCGGGGAAGTCACTCAACCGCACCTCAGGGGAATGTTGACCGCCTTCGCGAGTATCGGAGTCAGCACCGGTGTCCTGATCGAGTACATTCTAGGGAGCGTAGTCAGTTGGAACGTTTGCGCGGCAATCAGTGGGATCATTCCATTGGCAGCCTTGCTGCTGATGTTCTTCTTCCCTGAAACGCCGTCTTATCTCATATCTCGTAGCCGACCGGAAAAGGCACGAGAAGCGTTGCAACAGTTTCGCGGCAGCACGTGCAACATCAATCAGGAAATGGAGACGTTGATTAATTTCTCGAACAAAAACAATATCAAACGTCTGACCGGTTTCCGTGAAATAGTGAACGCCCTTCTGAAGCCTAACGCTCTGAAACCGTTCGCGTTATTGGTCCTGTACTTTTTGATTTACCAGTGGTCGGGCACGAACGTGATCACCTTCTATGCTGTCGAAATCTTCAATGACTCCGGGTCATCGATGAACAAGTACTTAGCCGCAGTGATTCTCGGTGTAGTAAGATTATCGTCGACCATCGTAGCTTGTATATTATGCAGAAAGTGTGGACGAAGACCTCTGACGATGGTCTCGTCCGTAGGGTGTGGACTGTCTATGATAGGATTGGGTGGATACTTGTGGTTGAAGAATTACTGGACCGTGAACAATATTCCTCTGGTCGCCACTTGGTTCCCTATTTTCTGTATATTTTCGTACACTATAACATGCACTCTTGGTTTTCTCGTTATACCTTGGGTTATGATAGGAGAAGTGTATCCAGCACAAGTACGCGGTATTATCGGTGGTCTGACCACAATGGCGGCACACTCCTTTATATTTACTGTAGTCAAAACGTATCCCTTCTTGGCCAGTGCACTTACTCGGCATGGTACTTTTATTCTCTACGGGTGTATATCGTTATTCGGTACAATATACTTCTACTTGTGGTTACCCGAGACTAAAGGTAAATCGCTCCAGGAGATAGAGGACTATTTCTCGGGTAGGAATGCCAACTTAACAACTGGTAGTATTGCCATTCATAAACCAAAGGTGTTAAAAGTGAAGAAAGGTCAGGTACTACCCTAAAGGAAGTTTTCCATGTCGATGCAAATTGATTGGCAGAGACGAAAACTTGTTGACTTACCATCGTTTTACGTTGAAGCGTTGAAATGGATTTTTATGTACTTTTAACAGAGACGTTTAATACGAAAAATCGTCTTGTAGCAAGACAATAGAGCTGGTCAGAAACTTGAAGCATCGATTAGAGTCAATTCCATGGTATTACGACTTCGCTATCGATACTCTTTTTCTTATATTTGTTTTTAGATAGGATAATTTTAATTTACTGTTGTATGTATTTATTGACTAAAGACTATAATTTAAATCGTGCTTGTCTCTCGCAGAAGAAACGCGGTATATTTTTATAAAGGTGAAATATTACAAGCCGTACGAAAGTATCTATTTTTAAATGAACATACTAAGATTCCTCGAGAAATACACGCTGGGAGAATTGTGCCTTAATTAATCGATACCGGGACAACGAAACATAAGGTGCTATTTAATTGTATCATAGTATTATAAACGTTTGTACATACGTGATCGAAAGACAAGACGTAATTAATAAAGAACCATAGAAGTAATGTTTGCAAAACCGTGGCTTGACATTGTTACACGAGTTTCTGCAACGCAAACTGTTTTATAAATTTGAATTAAAGTTTGTAATACATTTATTGAATAGTTGATTTTGGTACATTTTCCATGCATGATATTAATGCCTGTAACTACTTATTAGACTGGACGTTAGAATGTCATTAAAAGAAATTCATAAGTTAGTTTATTTGTTTCTAAGTATACACAAATTTTAATTTGAATAACGAAGGAAATTAAAATAATTACAAAATTTATTGAACAATGAAGATGCATTTATCCGGTACATACAATCAATCGAGTGTTAAACGAAATTTGTTTTTCTTTCTTTCCTTTTTCTGTCTCTCTGCTTCTAAAAATTTCTTGATCATTTCCGGCGGCAGTATTTCACCCCTATATGTTTTTGGTATCCGTTCTGCATTCAGAAATTTTAATTTCTCCGCAACATATTCTTTTGCATTAAATGCTTTTGCTGCTTCAATTTTTTCAATTAACTGTGCCTGAAAGAGCCTTTCTTTCTTTAAATTACGCTTTTGTCTTAATTTTGCAAATACAAACTTCATTCTCTTGCGAAACTTCTTCCTCTTGTGTTTCTTCATTTTCTGTCGTCTAATAACTATTAGACGGATAGCCAGCTTCTCAAAAACATTTTCTACTGAAGGGAGATCTATAGACTTATCCACCAATGGCAGATCATGCTTAACCGGACGTCGAACCAAAGGATCTTCCAATGATGGTATATTCTTAAATGGTATTTCAATTATGTTTTTATTAGTAGTATTGTCCAGATTTCCAAAGTCTAGATTGAGTGTTCTTGAAACAAATTTGATGTTTAACTTTGGGTTTATTACAGGTATTGCATCTTTGGGTAAATAGGTAGGCAAAGTATTACTTTGCTCTCTTGAAAAGTACGATGAATAACATCTTGCTATAACATTACCTGAAACAGTTTAAGTTACATTTGATAACTGCTCAACTACTTTGTTTCATAAGAACATGTTAACATTATTTCACTCAGAAGCTTATTTGCTCACGGGGAATTATTTCTAACTAGATTTTTAATTCGTAACAAGTGTTAATATTATTTGTTATTCTAAAACCTTAAGCGGTTTTACATAGCAAAATTATAAAAGGAGGACTTAGGTTATGGTTTCACCATAAAATTATTTAAAAGTTCAATGTCGTACTCACATTGTCTGCTAATTGTTGCTTGCTGAAATACTGCGCACAATCTATTCAGAGCCATTATTATAACTATATGCTATACGTATTTGTACTTAACATTGGGCAACAATATTTCAAACCATCACGAATCGAGCAGAAGACACGGCTACATAAATGGATAACCATAACCTAACAAATAACAATAGTGAATACAGCTAATACATGGTAATTGCTACCAACATAGCATTGTAGTAAACCTTATTTACTTTTTCATTTTTTATGAGACGTTAATTAATAGGGATCAATTATCACTTTATAACTCAGTTACTGAAAATTATTAATTTATTTAAACAGAGTATACATTTCTTTAGTAAGTGTTTCCAAGTTATAAACCCATACATAATGTAAGTCTGTGTTGTTAACTTAATCCATTCGTGTTTTGACAGTCCTTGTCGTAACTTTATCTTTCTCTCTGTAAGTAATAATCGCATCTTAGTTTCACAATAAGAGCAACAAAAAGGGAAGGAAATGCAATAACTTACATTATGTGAACAATAGCTCCCCAACCAGATATTGCATCTCTATCACATGCATTTACTAAAGCTTGACTGATAGTCTCAAAAAGATCGTCTGGTTCCAAATTTGGTTCATAAAGTGATTCACACATTCCATAAAGCTGTTCTCTACATGTTCCTCCCACCACGAAATCTCCTGGTAAACTTAAACATCCTATCATATCCATGTTACAAATAAATGGCTCGAACGTAACTGGATCCAATCCAGCAACAATAGGTTCCACGAAATAAGGTCCAAATCGTTTTTCGTACAACAGATTAGAGACCATCGATGCAAATGTCTTAGGATGAATCTTTCTGTTCTCCTTTAGTTCATAAAGATTTAATCGAAATCTTAGCCTTTCCATTACTGTTAGAGTATCAGTAGCAAGACCGGGAAGACTGAGATACAGATGTGGTCCCATTTCAAAGATCTTTTGAAAGTCACATGTTATTGTTTGAGCCTGTACACCAAATCTACGATCAGCAGCTATTGCTACACAGTTCTTGCCTTTCATAGCTATGATAGCACCTCCATTGTAAGCTAAAATACTCTGAAAAAGAAAGGTATAATTTTACATTGCTCTATAAATTTATGTCATTGCTAGACCATAGATTTTATGTGTTTAGAATATACAGAATTATGTCAAACTTAGTATAATAAAAACTTCAATAAAATAGGATCTATAGATTGTTAGACTCAATGGCAGGAATAAGAATCAATGAGACATTAATAATGTTATGGAATGACTACTTAAGGTGCACAAAATCTGCTATCTAATGATGAGATTTTTATTTGATAGTGAATCAGGCCAGAAACCTATCAGATGAAACAAATTTTTGCTTGAAATACATAGACGTATATTATTCAGGTAATTAACAATTTAATTTAAAATAGGAATCTATATTAGGAAAATCATTCAACTTATAAAATAATTACATTTATTTTCGGTTAACTAACAAAACGTGCATTGTCATCGGTATATTTGACAGCAACATAACCTTCTTTTTTTTTTAAATTGTTTGAAGCTTATTTAGATATGATAGTAATTAAAGTTTTCTTGATAACAGAGAAATAAACAAAAGTTCTGTTATGTGGTGTATGAATAATTACCATTTTCAGGAGTTTTTATGAAACTTGTCAGTGATTAAACTCCAACACTATTTCAAATGCTCCTTCGAATGCGATTCCTGATCCATGGAATACAAAGTGCATAGAAGATCAAATTTGTTATCAAAGAGTTAGCGTAAGTTCCCGACTGCAATAAAATTTCAATTTTTGCGTTCCAGTTACTTATTATTAAAAAAATTACAAACAGCATATTTTATTGTAGGATTTATACATGTTTCTTTCTAATTTAAATACTAGTCCGGATCATTATAGATGCAATACAATCGGCGGGAAAATCAAAATGAATTTTTATCAATTATCTTCTATTACATGTTATTACTAGAAAGTAATCCAATAGCAAGAATACCAATTTTTAAATTTGGTAGTGCTTTAATGACTTGCAGTCGAATGTTGGAGTTTATTATACTAGAAAGGAACGACACAATTAAATGAAATACATTGAATTCGTCTCATTTTAAATTCACGTAAGATGAACATAGAATACTTTCTATATAGAGCAGGATCTTTATTCTCCATTCATGTTAAAGACAGACCCCATCTCAACGTAACCACGTGACTTCTTCAGGGACGTGACGACGTCAGAGTATTCACTGAACAGTACCATGTAAAAATTGATCTTTCACAAATTTTACTCGATCACTCTTCTACTAATTGAGAAAAAGACAATTCTAGCGAAATGTTTTGTCATTTGAAATTACAGAGATTTAGTAAGGTTTTATTTCTAAAAATGATCGAGGGAACCTTTATATTCAGGCGTATACTTATCACAAATAGCAGGCCGTGACTGCCGCAAAATGGACCAATAGGAGATCTGTCACGTGATACAACGAATCTTCATTGTTGTTATGACGGTGGCTATCTGTAACGTGAACAGACAATAATTAATCCACACTATCATCCCCTCCAGAAACGTAGAAAGTCAAGAGCAAAGGGGATAAAACATGGCTCTGCGATGTTATTGAGAAATTGGAGGCAGTTCGGTGTGCCGCGTACGATTCCTCAATCATTGTAGAGAGCGAAAAACGTGTGTTCGTCTTTCATGAGTGCATCGTCCTTCGTGGGAGAGACACGGTTACTGAGAGTGAGAAAACGAACCGAGAGACAAGAGTGAACGAGAGAGATAAAGAGAGAAAATGTGTTCGATCAAGACGAGTCATTGTAAATGTCATGTATTTTGCGACAGAGAATGATTTGAACGGAATATCGAAGATAAGCGTGCCGGAGGGATTCGTCTTAACCGAGACTGGAACCGATCGGCGATTGTGCCCCTGAGACAGACGGACCACACTTTCCGCCAGTTTTTGGTTAGTGGTTCCACGATCACGACCATCTGGATGATGGTACCCAGTCAGCTGTAGCTCGTAACACGCGTGAAAGCGTGCTGATCCATCGTTCGTTTCATGGATGGATCGATGCCTGATATTTAAATGTCTGATCTTCGATAGATAATAAATCGCGATCTTAACATAAAAAAAATGGTCGTTTCTCTTTCACGTTCAATGACGATTCCCGAAGAAATTGTATCGTTCGATTGAGACGCGTACACAGCGCTATTTTGAGCGCTAATCAGTTTCATTTACTCGCAGTAGAACATTATTGGAAGTTATTATATTTTTCCGCGTAATCAAAGGAATGGTGTCGTGTGAGACTCGGGATGACCGTGAAATCCAAATGCGCCCGTGATGTATTTCACTTTTACGTTTATTTTTAAACCACCGATGTAGAAAACTGTTGGATCAAGCTTTGTAAAGTCACGCTCTTTGTCTATAGTTCGAAGTGTATTTGTGGAATACGTTTTAGGTGCTCGACTTTTGACGTTCTTCAATCTCTTCCACTTTTAACCTAACTGCAATGAACTACTTTGTAGCTTGTTACATTTCTTTGTTGTTATATAAAGAATTTTAGGTTTGTGTTCTCATTGGTATTCATGGTTTTCAGGTTTACGGGTTTGGTATTTGTATCATAGGATTTATATACTTAATTGCTTGGTGAGATCCCTTGATTGTGCTAAAGGATGTCACTGAAACCAAAACGAGTTAATTTTAAGCAAACATGGAATGTGTTGCAAGAAACTGTAAAGTGTATAATAACTTTGTCAAATGTTCCACGTGCAACATGGAATGACAGATTCAGGTATTTAGTGAATTTGACTGGCTAGCCAAAAAACAACGGATAAACTTTAACCTTCAGCGAGTGATTTGTATTTCATTTTAGCGATGTCTATTCTCTGTGCGTGGCTTATCCAGAACCACTTGCAAATGAATTGTACGACGAAACCAAGAAGTTTTTAGAAAAACATGTCTTCCAGTTGTTAACTACAGTCTGTGCCCAGGGTGAATCTGGTCTGCTGCAGGCATACCATCGTGCTTGGTGTGAATATTCGCAGGGCATCAACTACTTGCACCGATTGTATTTATACTTAAACCAGCAGCACATTAAGAAACAAAAGTTTTCGGAAGCAGAGCTTATCTATGGCACTTCTTCCACCATGACTGCTGATTACCAAGAACAGATGGAGATAGGGGAGCTAGGTTTAGATATCTGGAAGAAGAGAATGATCACGCCATTAAAGAAACAATTAGCATCTCAACTGTTAGAATGTATTCACGCAGACAGAGTGGGTAAAGCTCAGGTGGCAAGTACAGAAGTTATTTGGGGTGTTATACATAGTTTTGTTCGAGTCGAAGAGTACAAGTTGGTGGGACAACTGAATGTAATTATTTATACTCTGTGCACTGTGAACTGTACGTTTCGTCATAAAACTGCACAAGTCGTTATTTTTAGATGTACCAAACGATATTCGAGACACCCTTCCTTGAAGCTAGCGGACACTTTTATATGAAAGAAGCATTCATGCTACGACAACAGTCCGACATAACGCATTACATGGAAAAAGTTACGTCTCAACTTATCCAGGAGGAACTTCGCGCTCATAAGTTCCTTCATGCGAGTTCTGTGCCTAAAGTATGCTCTTTTTCTAGCGTGTTACACGTGTAGCCAATTAATTTAAAGTAGTTGGTTGTTCGACAGTAATGATTTGCAGGTAAGACAGTGCTGTGAAGAGAAGATGATAGCAACGTACGTAACCTGGCTTCACACGGAAGCAGAAACTATGATAGAGAACGAACGTAGAAGGGATCTGTCCCTCTTATATCCGTTGTTAAGGCCATTGCCTGCCGGCTTGGCTCCTCTTGTACAAAAACTTACTGACCATATTACTCAGCAAGGATTGAAAGCCATTGGAAATTTACAAGGAGAGAATGTAAGCGAAAGAGTGACTATACTTACGTATTAGCAATTCGTAACACATGTACAATATTTCATAATTCAAGGTACACACGCAATTTGTCGAAAGCATGTTGGATGTGCATCAAAAATATTCCGAGTTGATTAAGGACGTGTTCAAAGCTGACTTAACGTTCGTGGCTGCACTCGATAAGGCTTGTTCGGCGGTAGTGAATCATAGATCAGCTCCACGGCAACCAGCGAGAGCACCTGAATTAGTATGTAACTTTTCATGGCCATTGATCGGTACCGACAAGTAATTTCTGTTCCGATTGATGCAAATGTTGGTCATCCGAAACGTTTTCAATTTAGCTGGCTAAATACTGCGACTCCTTGTTGAGAAAATCAGCCAAGGCCGCGTCGGAAGTGGAAGTCGAGGATAAACTGGGACGCTGCATCACCGTGTTCAAATATGTCGACGACAAGGATGTCTTTCAAAAGTTTTACGCTCGTATGCTGGCGAAGCGATTGATCCATCAACAGTCACAGTCGATGGACGCGGAGGAATCGATGATCGACCGTCTGAAACAAGCTTGCGGATACGAGTTCACGAACAAGCTTCACAGAATGTTCACCGACATGTCGGTGTCAGCGGACTTGAACGCAAAGTTCGCCGCTAGTTTACGGGAAGGCGAGAGGGAGAACCAATTAGGCATAGGTTTTCTAGTATACGTGTTACAAGCGGGTGCGTGGCCTTTGGCTCTGCCGCCGTCCCCAGGACCGTTTCACATCCCTCAACAGTTGGAAAAGTCTATACAGGCGTTTGAAACGTTCTACCATGCACAATTCAGCGGCCGGAAGCTTACCTGGTTGCATCATCTTTGCCAGGGCGAGCTGAAGTTCAATTACTTGAAGAAGCCTTATCTGGTGATCGCGCAAACGTACCAAATGGCGTTGTTACTTCTGTTCGAGCACTGTGACGCGATACAGTGCCGGGAGGCTGCGGCGTCGTTGCATTTGTCGCACGATCAGCTGGTCAAGCACGCGGCTAGTTTGGTAGATAGTAAAATTTTAATGAAATCGACGGATGGAGAACTGGAGGAGGATACCGTCCTGACGCTCAATTTCGATTATTCCAATAAGAGAACGAAATTCCGTATAACGGGCGCGATGCATCGGGACGTGCCGCGTGAGAATCACGAAACAGAGGCCACGCATCGCAGCGTCGACGAAGACAGAAAATTGTACCTGCACGCAGCTATAGTCCGTATCATGAAGTGTCGTAAGGTTCTGAGACACAATCAACTGATACAAGAGGTAAAATATTTTATTTCGACATGCTTCTTATGTGTCAGTGAAAATCGGAACGATATATCGACTACACCGTTGACGGTTATACTTTTGTTCCAGGTACTAAGCCAACCTAAGATAACATTTGCTCCCTCGATTGCCATGATCAAAAAATGTATCGAAACCCTCATAGATAAGCAGTATATCGAGCGTACACCGAATAATGCAGATGAGTATTCGTACATCGCATAATTTCAATGTACCATCTGTCACTGATCATTAATTTATTTCGTTTGGGATGCTCCGATTGATCGTTCGCAACACTATATTAAACTTTTGCTAACAACCGAATGAAAAACACGTATCCACCGTATAGGGGTTTCTTAAAAGATTATTTGGAGAGAGAAAAAAAAAAAGAACGAGAGAACTTGTCGATGATACTCTCTGAAAAGAATCTCTTTTAATCGAAGGATCACAGGAAGCATCCTGAATTGCTTACTTGCTCCTAAAAATCGACCGATTAAATAACTTAGTTGATTCAATGATTTGTAATATATGCACACCGAAATAAAGCTAACGTTACTATTTTACGTTGGGACGATCGCCTTCTATCGGTTGCCCACGGATGGAAATTTAATTATGATTTGTTCTTGTAAATATACAATTATCATCGCTTATTCTGGGATTCATTGAACCCGCGTGAAGAATAAATTTATATCTATATTCTTACAAAATCTACATAACAATATTCAAAGTATTTTTCGTTTTAATTTTTCCTTCGATGATAAACTCTCTGGTCCCTTGTTCTTAAATTACGGTTCCAGTCGATGCTGGTAATAAAATATTGCACGATATACAGGGTGAGGCAGTTAATTGTTACCATTTCTTAGTAATCTTTGCCTTCTTTTCGATAGATTTTCCTCCAACTCCTTCAATTTCAAAGGCGTCACAGTGACAATTATAGTTATTGCTTCACCCAGTAGTACATAGTTCAAGTGAGATTGGGAAGAATCGTTGCATTAGACATTCGAATAATGTCTGATGTTATGTTATACGACAAAATGGAATATTATTGGCGGGCTACACTACTGTATAGGCCTGGATTGGTAACATTAGGAACGTGGAGTTTTCAGTTGTAACAACTCAGGGTCCAGCAGAGGATTGTCATCTGTCTCCGATTCCAGTGCCTTGTTCATACTGTTGACCACAAGTGGTGACGCAGTGGCAGCATTACTGTATGGTGAAAAGCCAGCCCATTCCATGCCAAGATATATGGGCGGTGGGCTTCCCAGTGGTGGTTCCAGTAGCAAGTGATCCGATTGTTGTTGTTGCTGTTGTTGTTGCTGCTGGTGTTGCTGTTGTACCTCTTGACAGTCGGATGGTGGCAAATGGGAAGGCAAGTGAGTGGTCACTTTACACTGTTTCTCTTGTTTCCGCCACTTCGCCCGTCTGTTTTGGAACCACACCTAGTGAAACAGTGAACATTGGAAAGGCAATGAACCCGCACCGAGACGATATTGCGGCACGTCGATAGGGAACACAGGAAAATCGTACTTGCACTCTGGCTTCTGTCAATTGTATACGCAGCGCAAGCTCTTCCCGAAAGAACACATCAGGATAATGGGTCTTCTGAAACGCTCTCTCCAGCTCCTCCAACTGAAAGTTCGTGAATGTGGTGCGGTATCTGCGTTGTTTCCTCTTACCTACGCCGGACGACTGTCTGTCCTCGCTGCCTGGACTTGGTGAGAAGTCGTACGCTGCAGAGCAAAAGGCCAATGCAAGACATCCTGTCAATACTGCAGTGAGTAAACTCAACCTCTACGTTTGTATGATATCCACCATAAGATACCGTCATGGAATTCAATCAGTACAAGTTTGAAGAAGCAGAGAGAGAGAGAGAGAGAGAGAGAGAGAGAGAGAGAGAGAGAGAGAGAGAGAGAGAGAGGGGCAGAAAGACAGTTCTGGAAGATTCCGGAAGTAGCGACGGTTCATGGAGATCACCGGTCAGATTTAATTGCATTGAATTTCACACGATGTAAAATGGTTCATAACTGGTTAAACTGATTACAGCTAACTCTATTTAAAACAAGGGCTGACGATTCGCTTAATGCATTTAGCAATAATTTAATTGAGAACTGCCCCAACTTGGTACGGGGCCGACAGGTAGAGGAGAGTGGCGGTTAATTAAATCAGGTCTGGGGTGGCAGGCTGCACTTACTGAATTTTGTCGGAAAGCAAACCGAGGAAGATTGCGCGCCTATCAGACCAGCCAGTGCAGTCGACTGTAGATCTCCACCGGGGTTGATCTCGTCCGGTGCCCCGGCCGAGGCCACGATCGCTCCGGCGGACACCAACGGATCACGGGGCGCCCCGACGAGGAACAATTGTCTGCCAGTTTCGTGTCCACTGTCGTCTTCCTCCTTCAAATCCATCACGTGAGACGCACACACACACTCGACAAAGAGATGATCGGAAAATTAATTAAAACATATCGGAATAGGCCAAACCGGAACGACAGACCGATAGGCTAATGGTAATTGAATCACTACCAGGTTGAGGAAGTTCGTGTGGGTACCACAGTGGCTCCGCAACTCCCGCTATTTCTTTTCTCTTTTCCTCCTTTTTTTTTTCTTACACCTGTGCGCGATGCAGACAGGGTAGGGGATAGGGTATATTCAACGTGAACACCCTCAAGAGGGGTAGAGAAGCCTCAAAAATGTATTGCTTGTACACGAGGAATCAATAGCACGGATGTGTACAGTGGCAAAAAGGTATATATGTCCAGCTTTTCTCCTTTGTCTATTTATCGTTGTATTATAAAATGGAAAAAAGTCACGCGTGACATTTTTTCTTTTGCGGTAAATTACTTCACCTTGGACCGGCACGGGGATGTGAAGTTGTCATGAATTGATACTAGACTGAGCTCGAGTTTAACAAAAGTAAGAAAGTATATTTTAATAACTGAATACTCGTCGTTTCCTTGTTATTTCAAGGTACAGATTTTTGGTTTACTTGTTAAAAATTTTTATAGATACGTAAATGGTTCAGTAAGCTCAAAAAACATTGATTTAATTCGAAACAAATATTGAAGCATAGTTGTAGCTAGATTTTGAGATATTATCTATGTGCAGTTCATTTATGACTCAGGTAAAAGGGCTATTATTTAGAAGACAGCATTTTTATTTATGTTTCTTTATTTGATCAGTGTAGTGTATTACAATATGTACAAAATTTGCTAAATCCATTCGTACTTAATAAATAAAAACGCGTTGTGCCTTAGTGCACATTCGGTAGCTCGAGTGTTATATGTAGTAAGTCTTTGTTCGTTGAAGAAACGAACGAGTGCCGTTTACTCTCGTCAGAACCTCGTGAGAAAATACATTTAGCACGTGCATATCACAGTAGGTGCATAAAATGAAATTGTTCAATATGAACTCTGTTTAGAATTTTCGTACTCTTCGCGTTCCATCCTGATCGGGCGTATGAAAACACGCTAGTTGGACCCACATTGTATCATCAGTGAGATAGAACGGAGATGTTTAGATGTAAAAAAGGCGTACTTTGCTTGTTGAGACCAGTAAATCATCGTCGTAAAATTTCGTCTCTATCACCACGTTACCACTGGTAAAAAAAAAGATCAAGAGTAATTATAAATTTTCAGATATCAAAGGTAGTGTGTAACGACAAATGATTAAACTGTGAATTTTATGCAAGACAGAATAAAATAAAGATTTTGATTATGTCTGACTGTTTTCTTTAATGTTTTGACTTTGTTTTAATACTTTCTGTTATCTAATAAAACTGCTAGTGAAAGAAATTGAAATTACTGTTTGTCTAATCTACAATATAAATTTGCATAGACATTCACAGTTTGATAATAACATGAAATATTACTTTAACACATTGGCAGGCATCATTTGACTTTCCGGGGCCGCTTGAATTAAACTTTGCCATGTATTCGTACTGTTTGGTATAACGAATCCAAACTCAAAGAACCATTCCTCTAAGCAGCGTCCTTTGAACAACACTTTCTGTTCTAACCTAAATCTTTCCATGGGTTCGGCCGAACTGAAATTTATCTCGCGTGAAACTGCCCTGCATTTTAAGATCTTCTTGGGCACTCTTGCTTCGTGTTCTATATCTGGTATGGATCTTAAAAGCAATCATGTTTTAATTCATATGCAGCCCACTATAATATTACTTCCAAACAGAGAAATAGGTTATGTTATACTCACAAGTCTTCGTTACCTTGCCATAATATTTTACCACTATCAGCGTCTCGCAAATTCATCCAATTTCTATAGAATATATTGTAGTCAAGGAAATGATTTAAATGAAAACTAAGACTATAAAGTGCATAAAATTTATTCTGCTCTTTTTGTAACCTATAGAAGCATATGCCTCGTTACAATTTGTTTCAGAGATTAAATATTAATTAAATAGAAAAGGATACACTTGAAAACCTTTTAATATATCCTCGCCCCGAGAAGGCATAATTAGTTTCAAAATGTGTCAATTGCTTGTTTTTATTACGCGGGCAAACAGGCGTACAATCGATTAAGGAACTATCGATTCTTCACACGACTCATTTGCATATACAAAACTGGACCGCTTCGAGTATTGTCGGGTAAAGTCGGATATGTTTCGTTTCAGCGGGTTAATTCAGTCTACATGAAGCCAATTTTAGTATGTTTTTATTCACTAAATAACAGACAAAATAAGGATGTATGCAAATAAATTCCAAAATCTTATTTCTAAATGACTTATTTGCCAAATATTTGGTTATTTAAAATAATAATGCAAAATGAAAAATAATAGGTTTTCGTATATAATGAATATATTTGTCATTGTAAATGAAAAAATATATTATTTGTTTAAATTTATGGGACAATACATAGATATACGTGTTCGTACTAGCATATTAAAAGTAATTAGTTTTTTGTACGCGAACACAAGGTCCGACAAATCTGACCCCGAACCTGCACAAGCCCGGTGAAATCGGTATGGAACAACTCGGAGGTTTATTTTTATTTTATTACTAATAATTCTATGATATATGTATATTGCATTTTTTTTTTTTTAGCGGAGGAAATGCCTTATGCACGCCCCAAAGTCCTGGGGTGGGGCGCGCTCCCACTAAAACCCCCGCGGCAGCCTTCTCGGGCGGAACTCGGCGGTGGCGGGATCTCGTATGAACGCACCGCCGAAGAAACATGCGGGCATGCCTTACCGTAATGAGCCATCTCGTGGCCGCGGGATTCCGGGAATCGGGTGACGTCACGGCGTGCGAGCGAGAGCGGTAGAGCGAGCCGCGGTATCGGTGCTCTCCGTCGGTGTTGACGGGTGCCGAGGAATTTCGGTGGTCTATGGGAGGGAGGTGTGCGAGCGAGAGAGTACGGTAGAGCGTGCCGAGTATCGGTGCTCTCCGTCGATCCAACGCGCTAGTGAGTTGCGTCACCCAGTTTATTGACTTAGCCGTGTACGCCGTGTACCAAGGTCGTACCATCCCGTGCAGGTCTGTGCTTGCTTCCTCACTTTGTCGTGAACCGTCGCGGAGGGTGGTCGCGCGTCTCATACTCGTCCTTTCTCTTGTTACTAACCCATTGTTTGTTGCAGGCATTCGACAACCATCAATTTATTTACTGTGCATATTGTTGTGTCCCCTCTCTTGTTACTAATCCCTTATATGTTACAGATGTTCGAGAACCATTGGCTTCGATATTTATCTTCTTATGTACTGTGATTCATTTAATGTGATTTATTTACTGTGCATATTATTTATTTATTTACTGTGCATGTTACTAATCTATATACTGTGCATATTGTTGTGTCCCCTCTCTTGTTACTAATTCCTTGTATGTTACAGATGTTCGAGAACCATTGGCTTCGATATTTATTTTCTTATTTACTGTGATTTATTTACTGTGCATATTATGTATTCTATGTGTATTGTATAATGAAAAATATTTTTCCAAACAGTTATTCCATCGAAAGAAGACATCGATCAACGTCTACATCTTCAAAGCGTGCGTCTACCACTGCGTTAAGTTACTGTAAGTTAAACTTAAATCATAATTCGATATTCATTGTTATATTCATATTCATCATCACATCGTTTATTATTAATTTTAGTCTATCTATTAATAGACTTAAATTGTGATCAGCCATTGTGCATACCAAGTTATTATTAATTCATTTTGCTCGTTGATTTCTCTACACAGACTTGGGGTATGGGCAGTGGGTCTGTACCTATTATGGTACGGGCAGTGGGCCTGTGCACTAAGACTGTTTGCCGATCCCTCTGGTTTCTATTGAGAAGCCAGATATCGGACGTGTTTAGTCTTTGCCTGGTAAGTAGGATTTGGAGTAAAGGCTCGTGCGCGCCTGGGTACAACGTACCCGCCTACGGAGTAGTCGGGAGTCTGCTCCGTAAAAGGACTCTGTTTTACAGGGGATCTCGCTTGCACTACCATACTTGGTCATGACCTGTGCTCGGGTCTGGTACGTAGGTGACCAGCCCAAAGGGCCTGGAAAGTGAGAGATGGATTCGGGTTTGCGAGGTTGCGCCCGTCTTTCCTATTTTCTTAAACCAGGTTCTGGCGACAACACTTTCATCGCGATACTTGTTCATACTGTAGTTTAACGTGGTTCATCGTAGAATTAATTTTTGGCTTGGTATATTAGGTGCGTAAACGAAATGATCGATGGAACTTTTTCCATTCCGTCTATCTCTTTCGTTTGAGTATTAGCGACTACATTGCGTTAAATTTGTTATTTCGTATTACTAGCATTAATTCGTATTAATTAGAATATTAAGATAATATTAGTTCTAAGCTGAAGAACGAAGACAACCGACGAGGGAACTTAGTTTTTTATAGGTTTAGGCTCAAGAAAGAAGTCATCCGCCGAGGGATTTTAGTATCGGTAGTATTATATAGTTAAGATTTAAGTAATTTATAAGGTTTATTGTGAAAGGTGGGTAGATGTAGAACTTGTGATTCCATCTACTTGCCTTGGGCCTCCACTCGCAGCAACCTCCTCGTGGTGAGGCCTGGGCAATCGGTATTGTCATCGGTAAAATACTGTAAACTGAAGACAATATCGAGCCAATGGCTGCGAACTTCGAATATATCTCATGAAACTACGTTCTATATTACATCGAATTAGGATTATTTTAGAAATCGATATGAGATTCAAAGTGTAAAAATGTCCAGTACTTTGAATCTTTTAGAAAATTATTCGAGATAAAGATGTATGGAACTATTGAAAATCACTTCAGATTCCTTTTCCTTATTCTGTAAATTCTTTGATTGGAATATGAATGCTTACTACATCGAACGCACAGTTTCATCTATATAGAAGCATGTGACAATTTCAGAAACTGCTATTTCTTAAAGGATTGCATACAAATAATCAAATTACAAAACTGTTTCAGTTAGAGATGACGTGCAAAATCACTAACGGTGATTTATCACAGTGATCGCAGAATCACGATCACGGTCGTGATTTAACTTCATTCACGACCGTGATTGCGATTTTTTTATCTTGAGTGAATTTGCTCACTGCGATCGTGAGTCTTTGATCTTTAAACAGAAAAACGTATTCAATATGATTTTACGATGAATTACATTACTATTCGTGTTTATAAAAAAGAATGATTTGCTAGGTAACATGTAGGTTATAATTTATAATCATTAATTTATTCATTATTCTTCATTGTTTCTAATTATTCCTTCACTTTATACGATATAACGCGAATTTTTGTTTTGATGTCTTTAATGTAAAATATACAAATTATGTATCGCGTGTAAAGAACTGTTAGGTTTCTCCACCAATCAGAAACGATCACGAGAAATCACGAATCACTGTGAAAAATCGCCGTGATTGGGAACAAAAGTGATCGAATCACGAGTGATTCACAAGTAACAGTTCACACCATCTCTAGCGGCAACCCAAATTGCGGCTGATTTCGATTGCATTTACACCACTGAATGGTCATCATTTTCCTTCGGCACGCATTAGATTCGAAGTTTAAAGAACGTACATTAGTACTTTCTAGCGGCTGGGTACCAGTAATTACAAGAACATTGCTAAAATCTCAATTGTTTGCAACGGTTGACACTCCATCTCGCTATGCGTACCCCCGTTAGTTCACTTTGAATAGCTCTTCCAACGTTATATGGACAGGTTACGTCTTAATCAAGCATTCAGTTTGAAGCTGAAAGAATGTAGATTAATCCACTGTCATTAAAAATAACAATAAACAACCAGAACACTGTTGAAATCGCATTTAATTGCGGAATACCACTAATTTTTTGACCGGTGGCGCCATCCGTGGCGAATCGGTGAAACTGCTAACGACTTATATGGCTAGCAGTTTCGGCGATTCGCCACGGATGGCGCCACCGGTCGAAAAAATACTGGTATTGCGCGATTAAATGCGATTTTAACAGTGTTCTGGTTGTTTATTGTTATTTTCAATGACAGGGGATTAATCTACGTTCTTTCAGCTATAAATTGAGTATTTTATCTAAACGAAAGTTATCCGTATAATGGTGTAAGAACTATCCAAAGTGTACTAAACGGGGTACGCATGACGAGATACAGTGTCAACCGTTGCAAATAAATGTGATTTTAACAATGTTCTTGTAATTACTAGTGCCCAGCCGTTAGAGAATAGTAATCTACGTTCTTTAAACGTTGTATCTAATGCAAAACGAAGAAGAATCATGCCCGTTTAGCGGTGTAAATACGATCGAAATATTTTGCAATCAGGTTGTCGCCCCATAAGAGGTTACTGTAATACAGGCATAACTAATTTTATTAATTCAGGGTCTCTGCACTATTGGGTCCATGCATTAAGTCCTGAGGGACAATTTGACACTAATGACGTTCATTTTAAGTGCTAAATAACTGAGATATTTGCATTTTTCAATCACTAGAAATTTTCACTCACCTGTCCATATAATTAGGAGCGGCAATCCGGATGCCAAAAAGTTTCTATCGCATTTAATCCGCTATACGG